GATTGTTTTCAAGTCCAAGGATTGTAAATTACAATTTTATGAAAAAACGAAGGTTGTTCTGTTATTTCAGTGTGAATCCTTGCATGCCTGCCAGTCGCTGGCGCCGCTTGTTGAAACTAAAACCAAAAAAAAAACTCTTTTAAGATTATCATTGGCTTTTTTTTTCACCCCACCACTATTCTTAGCAACAAAGGTCGCCATTTCGTCTGTTTATTGCTCGCCAAAAACTATCAAATGCACTCAAAAGCCTAAAATCTAAAAAAAAGTTTACAGGAATCGACCAATCGAGCGAGCGAATGCCATTCCCCACATCGTAGAGAGTCAGTGAAGAACGTCTTTTTTTTGTTCATTTTGCTTTTGTGAAGCCAAGGTTAACAAGGATTGGTTTGAAGGACATCTTGTTCGCGACATCAAAGCAAGGCTCACAACTATGTGACAGGCAACTTAATACCACATCACAGCAAACAGTGCATTTGATTTGTTGAAATACTATACCGCACAACTCTAAGAACATGTTAAGAACGTTTTCAGGCTCAAATCGCGAAAAACCAAGGAACATTTATCCTCAGCCCCAAAATTAGACGTTATTATATAAAAATAGAGTGTTTCACTAATTGCTATCCACTATCATGCAATTTGAACATGTTCAAATTCGAGATGATAGTTGATGATAATTTTTGCCATTTGAACGAACGAATAATAGTGCATGATTCCGACGTTTTGAGCGTAAGCAAGTCGTCACAGCCTTCCTAATGGCTAAAATCTTAGTGGATTACGTTTCATCATTTCTCGCTTTTTCTCGGTAGAAGAAACTCGGCAACCATTACCATTACCATCGTCACCTTTTTTCGACTAAATGCATTCTACAACACACCATTTCCTGTCTATAAAAAATTTTTTCCCCCGTCGCCTCCCGTTGCCTTTCCAACTGTACAGGCATAACTGGCGGGAAATGGGAGTAAGATTGGGCCATCATAGCCATCATATCACTTAAGCAAGCACGGTGACCTATCTTTTTCATTGCAATTTTCGAAACAAACATTGGTGGGAAACATTTGAAGAAAGTTAAAAGAACTATTCAATATCTTTGTTATCTGAGGAATCACATTAGGCGAGGCTTGCTGTTAAAAAATCTCTTATTGTTTCAGATTTTACATGTTTTGGGTTCACCCTCGGATGAATTCAGCTTCAAGTTAAACATGCTGTATGGGGGTTCGTTTCACGAGGAAATGCAGTCTCCAAAATATGATTATCATTTTGTTTACGCCCTCGTGCGACCAGCTGGTTCCTGGTCATTTGCGGAAAGACTTTCTGATATCGTGGATTTGACAAAATTGGAGGAAAGAGGAAACAGTCTCAAGAAGATGGACATCACTGCCGCCTTGCAGCACATTAAACATGTGATACAACCAGATATGGCTCTACTCCATTTTGTTTGTTTAAAAGGAATGACAACTTACAGGTCAGATCTCTTACTGAGGGTTTTGTTAGTTTTAATTTGATGTAGTTTGTCTCGTCTGGTTTTAATGACTAACTCCGTGACTTTTGCGTCATTTTGCGAGTTCTTATAAATTGTTTATTCTCGTGTTTTGCACGGAACAAGTTAGTTTACGCGAATTGAGTCGTTTGTTTTGCTACTAAACGTTAAATCCTTACGTCTGTTGATGATCTTACGCACTGTTCTACGCCCCTGGGCACACTTCGATTCTTTTGATATTGCAAAAGGATCAGTAAATAGATCTCTTTCAAAATGGCGCACATGATTTTCATTCATTGTGTGTATACAAATTAGCCTTCATAGCCTTCCATTTGAAAGAAAACTTCATTACTTTTAGAAATATTGTAGAGAACAGAAAGGTAACCTTACACGAATCAAAGAGAATAGTAACTGAAGTAGTTTCCTCCATACAATACAGAGATCTCTTATCTTTACTACTGACAGAGGCTTTTCGTTTTCTTATCCACAGGGCGCTCTTTGATGCATTGGATATTCCATTAGTGGGTGGATCAGTAGAGTCGCGATATCTTTCCATGGACAAACTCATTACACGCGGTGTTTTGGTCTCTTACGGCGATGTTTCATGCCCTGATGGATTTATTTACCAAAAAGGTAGAAGCGACACTCTTGTAAGGGAAAACGATATTTTTAGATCCCTTTTTGAACTCCTTCCCAAGCTTCTGTGCTCCGCTATTTCCTACGAATGAAAAATAAACCATTTGGCTAGCGAAAAAATGTACATAACACTGAGTAGCTTAAGGTGTTGGAAAACGGACTTATAGAAAAGAGATCAGTTTCAAATTGGACCCGACTCATACCTTACCAAGTCTTCCCTCTCTTGATAGCACCACTGTGAATTAAAAAAGTAATTGTAACAATTTGCATTAATTTTACACCGTTTTACTATGAGACTAAGAAGCTTTGTTGACGCTAGTAACTCACCACCGACAAATAAAAAATGATTGGTAATTTAAATCGGATTGACTTTGAGAATTCTTTTGCCACAGGTGATCCTCTAGAGTCTGAACAAGTTAGGTATCCATGTGTTATCAAAGCAAGTCAAGGAGAAGACACCAAAGCAGTGCGATTAGTGAAAGACTCCAAATTGCTCAACGCAGCTATTGAGCATGCGTTATCGTATTCAGACCATGTGATCATTGAAAGGTAGTATTGTCGTTGAGTAAGTGTTGCAGTCGAGGAAGCGTGTAGGAGTGAACAGTGTTTGGCTGTTTTGACCGTGATGATATTGATATGCCGATAGGCCAAGTTGTTGTCAAGCTTATATATGAAGGAAACTGTAAGTCGGATCCAAAATCGGATGAATCTGACTTGTCGATGAAAGCATTTGTTTAAATACATGGAAGCATTCAAAGTACTTGTGTAAATTTGACTGTAAGTGACTCAAAATACGAGGAAACCTGTTTATTCACAGCCGTTTTTCTTGAAAAAAGTTTGTGCATCTCCTGAAAAAGCCTTAAAGCTTAAGTTTGTTAGCTCTTAGATCAGATGGTTCTCAATGAGGTTTGAGACATGCATGAATTAAAAGAAAGCAATTTTAATTGCTTGTCGAAAGTAATCCGAGTTGACATTAGTTTTTTTCTTCAGTATGCTTTGTAATTGGTAAACATAATCGTACTACCTTCTCGACCAATCAAATGGTAAAGCGAAAACCAATCCCGACTTGGTCGTTCGCGTTTTCCTGTGAAATTGGCTTGAATTGTTAAAAAGAAACAAAGGGTCAGTCTGAAGTACGAAGTAAGTTTTGGCGGGATACTAAACAAGAGGCTGCAAATCTTACTAGTGTACCAAGTAGGCTTTAGACTTTGAACAAGCTATTTCGGAATGCAGACTTGTGGGGCTTTCCTGTAACATAGTAGATTACTCTATCATAATAATTCGACCCCTCCTTTGTATTCACTGGAGTGGGGCTGCACGCCTTGCGTAGAGACTATGTGTAATTTTGCAGCCTTATGACGTTTTACAATTAAAAAAATTAATCCTATTCAATGATTTTGTATTTCGTTTCCTCCTTAATTTTTTTTCGGCAGTTACATAGAGGGACGGGAAATTCGCTGCGCTGTTGTTGAATCAGCAGCAAATGGAGAATTAAAAGCTCTGTCGTGCATCGAGTATAAAGTACGAGAAAATGACATTCGAAGAACTGAAGACAAACTCAGCTGCAATGAAAAAGGATTACCTGTTGGTAAGTACTGGAGATATACGTCTTTAATTCCACCAACAACACCGGTAATTAACATATGTGCTACGAAGCCACATTTTCAGGGCGTCGTCAGGCTACTTGGGTTCCCTGCCCATAAATTTTTTGAATCCCAAGTAGCGGAGGTCTTGTATGCGTCACGTGATCCCACAGCAACCGTACGTATGCCGCCATTTTGCATACCAGGTAAAACAACATGGCGGTCGTCGAAGGCGATTGCGTGCAATCTTTGCGAGGTTATTACGATTCCCTTAGTGCTGAGAATAAATAAATGAAAAAAAAAGAAAAAAAAAACGGCGAGAGACTTAAATGTTTTGCAGGAGTAGATCCCTGCTCTACAAGTTATGGCAAGCCAGTCGAGAATTATTTCTTCGAGTCGAATTCTGACAGCTAGTTGAGAATTTTTCTGAGTCGAAAATCTTTTCATCAAGTCGAGAATACCCGAGTTGCCGCCAAAACGATCAAACGATAGGGCAGTTTGTAGATCTGTTGGTTACGTAGCCTTTTTATACATCATTGTCGTTCTTCAAGTTGCTGACGGTAATGTGAAGGACTTGGAGAGGTTTCTGTTGTCTATACAGGATTGCATTTCCCATATAGAACGACGCACAGCTCCAGGAAACGAGAGAAAAATGGAATGTAAACACGATCGCTTGGAAGGCTTTGTTGAAATAATCGCAGCGTTTTCTTTAGTTCTCGCCAATGTCCAAGGCTTTTTAGAGATAAAAGTGCTGGTTGACGACCTTCCACACTTCTTGCGGGAGTTACTAAACCACATCAGGCATAAAAATACTGCTTCTTTTCAAGTCAGTGCTGAGTTTCGTAGTGTACCTTACCGCGAAAGAAGTTCATTAGGAAGACCAAAATACAACATTGCAGCAGAACGAATTGATGTATTTCGAAGCACTGGTATGCAGTAGGCAATTATTGCAAAGTGTTCAGGTGTTAGTGCCAGGACTCTGTTCAGAAGAACAACAGAATTTGGTATTCTTGAATACAGCGAGGTTAATGAAGAGGAACTTGATTGGAATGTAAAAGATATCTTACGAATAACGCCTTCCTCTGGTGAAACGTATGTACGAGAAGCTTTAAGACTACGTGGTATTTATGTTCAGAGGTGAAAAATCCGGGAAGCATTACAAAGAATTGATCCTGTAAACCACGCCATAATACACAGATATGCAATTCAACGACGTCTGCATAATGTTAAAAAACCAAACCATTAATGGCACATTGACTCAAATCCCAAGTTAATCCACTGGAGGTTTGTTTTGCACGGTTGCATTGAGGGGTATAGTAGAGCAATAGTTTACATAAAGTGTTTCACTATCCACCTAGCAGGTACAGTATTGCAATACTTCATGGATGGAATATAAGAATTTGGAATTCCATCACGAGTTTGAAGAGATAGGGGCGTTGGAAACGTGAATGTTACTCGATTCATGATTAATCAGAAGGGGCTAAATAGAGAAAGCTCCATAGCTGGATGCAGCATGCGCAATCAAAGGATAGAGAGGTTTTGAACAGAGGTTAACAGGGTTGTTTCCTCACTTTACGTTGATCTATTCATTTTTATGGAAATTACTGGCATTCTTGACGCACATGATGATTGTGATTTGTTTGTCTTTTACTATCTTAACGTTCGGGCCATTCAGGCATCTTTGGATGAGTTTATTTCCCACTGGAATCACCATGGTCTACGTACTATGGCAAGCACGTCCCCCCCTGGCACTCTGGTACTCTGAGTTTGTTCCCTCTGGGGTGGATGACATTGATATAGGTAATATTTCCCTGTATGGTGTTGATCGTGATGGACCTGTGGCCAGTACCGAGAGAGATAACACGGTTTCTGTGCCTGAAAGCATCATTCAACTGACAATCAAACAGATGACATAAAATGCCTAGTGTCTGATCCACTGGCAGACGATGGCAATCATAGAATTGGACATTACCTTGCCATTGCTAATTATTTAATTAACAGTACCGTCAGCAACTTGAAAAAAGACAACAACAGATCTGCAAACCGCCATATTGTTTGATCATTTTGGCGGCAAATGACGGCATGACATGTTGGGTATTCTCGATTCGATAAGAAAAAATTTCGATTCGACAAAAAAATCTAGACTCCAGAAAAAATTCCTCGACTGATTGTCAGAATTCTGGACATGAAGAAATTATTCTCGACTCGGCAAAAATATTCTCGACTCGAAGTAAAAATTCTCGTCTGGATGACAAAATTCTCGAATTCAGGAAAAAATTCTCGGCTCAGAAAAAAAGATTCTCGACGCGAAAAAAAAAAAAAATCTCGACTCGATGAAAAAATTCTCGATCTCTTTTGTCCATTATAGCTTTCCATAAGAAGTATCTTTGTGTGAAAAGCGACCCCAAATTATAGATGCCTCCGAAGATGATGGCTCAGTGCAAAAAAATTTAATCTAACAAACTCAGCATAGTCTAGATTCGCCAGCTTCAATCTAAGGCATATTACTTTTTTAACAGATAAGCTCAGATACGTCAACATTCATGTTTTTCCTTTCCCCTTTTCCTTAATTCCTACGTTCTGACTTTCCGTTTGTTGGAAAAGTTCTCGCACAACTTTTCGTTTCTTTTTCTGCCTTTCGTCTGCTTGCTTTTTTTGTTCAAGTGAGGACTGCGAACTTGGCTTTAGGACAGAACTCGAGTGAATATTTATCTCTCTTTTAGATTAAACAATTTGTTCGGTAGTCAGAAGACTTGACCCGTGGCTATGCCCCACGTTAGCACGTTTTAAATTGCGAATTTTTTATTTCAAATAACATATGAAGTGATTCCTCTGAGACTTCTCGATTACTATTGTCTTAAATTGCTGCCTATAACAAGAAACTCATCCAGTAGTCATCAAGTATCTTCGTTAACACTCATGATACTTTTTCAGGGGAAAAGTTTTCAACCAGACTGTATTAACAATTTGCTTGTTTCTGTGTTTGTTTTCATTCTAGGCAAATCTCCTGAAAATAAACCATGGTTCCTTGATCCCAGTAAAGAGGAGAAGCTGATTCATCGTATTCAACAACAAAGTTGCCGAGCTTTTCGAGAGTTAGGTTTACAGGATTTTGGTGTATTCGACTTCCGAGTCGACATTGAAGGAAATCCATTCTTCCTAGAATGCAATTTATTCTGTTCCTTTGGTCCACAGAGCGTTGTCAATATAGTCGCCAAGGATTCAGGTTTTACAGATGAAAGTTTGTTTGACATGATGGTGGAGAATACTTTGCTGCGCAAGCGTAAACAAGAGAATAACAATGTTAATCTGTGATAAAGTCAACGAAATGACGACACTAACAAAATGTAAGGAAGCGTTTTGATGAAAAATAAATCACTCAGTTTTCTCTTTAGAATTGTCTTTACGGTTTCCAAGAAAGGTAATTTATCTTACAAGGATTCGTCGTTTTCGACAGTGTAAGCTTACTTAGAGGGTCTCCAACAGGGTTCTTCAATCCCGCGATCCCGACTAAAATTTTCTTTCAATCCCGCAATCCCGACGGTTTATACCGGCTAATCCCGATTCCGATCATGAAATGCTGTCTTAGTCCATTCAACGTAAGAGGGCCTAGCGTTGATCCGTTGAAGTCTACGGTCACCGTAAGGCGTAAGTTTATCTATTTTCACCAAAATGACGATATCGTTCATTTTAGAAGTTTTAAAAGTTTTACACGATTATCGTACGTTAGTAAAGTTAACGACTTCCTTCCGTTTAACTTCGATCTCGGAGAAAAGTATTCGTAAAGACAGGTCAGTATCAAAGTGAAGCGAATACTTCTTTCGAAGCGGGAACCTCCTCGAAGGTAAAAATCAGCCTCTCTTTCCAAAGATGGAGTGTCACCATCATCACTCGGGGAATCGCACTCTAATATTCCATCTTCCTCTTCGTCTTGTTTCCCGCTATTTTCTTGATGCTCCTCGAAGTCCGAGCGTTCGAGGCTAACCAGTTCGCCTGGCTGAATTTCTCTCTGATAGAGGTACGACGAGGAGTTCAAGCTCTTGCCGTCGTTGTCTCTGTGTGACAGAGCGCTGACGCACTGCAACAAATGTTTACTTTTGCTGCTGCAACAAATGTTTTCGCCCATTCCCTCATCTTCTGTATGCTCTGTGGTGCCATCGGTACAGGTGGTAACGGTTAAATTACTGGTTCAGTGGAACCTCGATTTTACTAAGTGCTAAGGGACTGGAGAAATTAATTCGTTATATCTAGGGTTTGTTTTATCGAAAACCTCGATTTAACGAATTTGCGGAAAAACAACCAAAATGTTCGTTATATCGAGGGATGGTTAATATCTGTTTTTTTTTGTGGTGCGGTGACGTCGTACTCACCAGCATTGTTGGATCGGAAAGATTACTGAAGATGACATATGTGCTTTAATGTCTATTTGAAGCTACAATACACGTGCACTGATCAGGTCTGAACATAGCTACAGCACCTTGCTTTTAAAGCACGGAGGACAAATTTTGGTGGAAGTCACTGGCAAACCGAGAAACAAGGGAAAAAAGGAAAAGAAAAAAGGGGAAAATCCTGCCTCTTACACCTTTTACTACAAGAAGTTTTTAAAAGCAAAGAGGTCAAATTCACTCAATAGAACTAGTAAGAGACAAAGATGACAAAGCGGATCTATAGATGTGGTCGATAGTGTCATGTTAACTATGAAGTTGTTCTATTGCAACAGAATTGAAGGATCTTGATACTTGTTGGTCTGTTTCGCATTTTTCTTTTGTCACATGTTGACATTTGTTCGCTATATCGGGGTATATTATCTGTTTGTGCCTCTGGATTGTCTTCATTATCACGAGGATTTCGTCATTTCGAGGCTCGCTATATCGAGGTTCTTTCCCATACATTTTACTGTAACTTTGGCCGGGATGAGTTATATTGATTAGCTATACCGAGGACTTTGTTATTTAGAGGTTCGTTAAATCGAGGTTCCACTGTATGCCCAACAGGATCATGGCATATTCGGGTAAAGCATGTAAGGAATTTAAATTTGTAAAATAGTACGCCACCTAATGGGTTGCCCTCTTTAAGCCTTCTCCGGCTGGGTAATTAAAGTTTCTTGGGTAATCTAATACCGTGAAAAGTTGATCTTTGCAATGCACAACCAAGTGAATATCCTCCACGGCCATGGTCATGCAACACAACAGGTTAAGAGCGTCATATCGGTAAAATTCTGAGACTTGCTGAAGGTTTTCAAGGCCGTTAAGTCTTTCAGTTGACGCAACAGTCAGATGCCAAGTTACCCTGTGGGCCATTGAAGACTTTTGGTAACTCGGTAACTTCGCTGCTGATAGAATTTTCATTCCCGCGCAATAACTGAAAGGTGTCGCTGAGCAGCCCGACCGCCTCTTGAACGCAAGGGAACCTGTACGCCAGGTACTTTTCATGGACTGAGTAGATCACTTTCTTAAAAAATTATCGTTAACGGACATCCCGCTATCAGTTCGTTTAAGTGATTATTTCCCGAATCCTGCTCCTCAAATTCACCGATTCCCGTGTCCCGTTCATGATAACAATCCCGCATCTCGCTCCCCTCTGAATTCCCGGATCCCGGCCTTCAAATAAGCCCAATCCCGGATCCCGAAAAACCTATTGGGACCCTCTGTTTAGAGAAACAGTTGATTAAAAAGCGGAAAGTTGGACTTGGTCATTAGACTTGGACTTTCCATGTCTACAAAATAACAGGGTCTCATCCAGAAAGTTATTGAAAACGTTATTTACATGAAAAAGAAAACCACTTACGAAATGAATGAGCACTCAAGATTTTAGTATGGTAATTCCGTTACGTTTGCTGTCCGCGATTTCAACATTCGTATGGTAGTTTTTTGCCAGGCTTAAGCTTTTTTGTATTTTCTGAAAATTTTAACGAGGAATCCGTGAAAGCTTCTATTTAAGTAGAAGCAATATAAACAAATTTGGTCAAAGGGAAATAGTGTGCGGCGAACAAAAATAAAAGTGGTTCAACAGTGTGGGAACAAGTGCACACGGTATAGGATTTAATCAATCCTGACTCGCGACATACGATGCAATTAAAAAGCTGGCTTGTTATGTATTACCTGGAAAAGGTGTACTTGATTTTTTGTAGTTGTAGTAGCTTACCATTTTCCTTATCTGTCTATCAATTGTTTGTCCTGATACTGTCTACTTATAAAACACTACAAAAGATTTCAGTTATCATTTTTAGGAGGCTTCTTTCTTATCAAAACAAACTTCTTGACACATAACAAATGATACTCAATGTTAGATTCATGTTTTGTATATATCTTATATGATGGTTCAAGAAATGAAATACGCGCGGAAATTTTGTGAGTCCTAATTCGCGTCGAGAGCTTGAACCAATACAGCCTGTTATCAAGTTCATGACATCACTTTTATCATCGGCTAACATGAATCCTCTGTATGCCTTGGCCATTGTGCAATTAAGGAACCGCAAACCAAATATTACATAACTTTAGTTAAAGACCCCAGTACCTCGCTGTTCGTATTGTCAGTGAAACCCTTATACCCAACTTTCCACGTACATGTTTTAACTTGCGGTGACTCTGTCTTAGTGGAGTGATCTTGTCCGTTCACGTTACACTACCAAGTAGGATGTGAGAAATAGACTCTTAGAAATAGACATACGAAGTGCTTATAAAGCTAGTTTAATATGATTATTCGTTAAAGGTATAGATTATTTTTTAATAATTGTAATGAGAAACCTCACCTGCTTATCATTCTTTCTTTCTATCGTCCTCACTGATAAGGTAAAGGACATTTTATTATTTTCAAGATACTTTTCCTCATAAAAAAGAAAGTTCTTCACACATAGCAGGTGATATTCAATGTTGACTCACATGGTTTACTTTTATTTCATTGTTTTCTCAGAAACTCAACCTTACATTTGTTTTGTTTACAAACTCAGTATGTAACATTATTTACTAATTGGCCTTATTTAAAACAATCACCTTGAAACTGACATTATGTTCTTATTACCAACAGGCAGTTTCAGTTATCAATAGCAGTGCCAAGTATTTACAGTAACAACAGGTAAGTACAGTCGAACCTGCATTAAGCGGCAGCTTATTAAGCAGTCACCCTGTTGTCACCGTCTCAAATTTCTCTCCCCTTAATTGCGGTAATTTTCACCACTGTTAAGCGGTCGTGGTCACCTTTGAGTGAGTTCCAACGGCCTGTTCGCACTGTCTTCCACCTGTATTGAACAGTCACTTAAAGCGTGGACGACCGCTTAGTGCAACTTTAACTGTATAGATACATGCAATCGATATATGATATAGCGTATTAAAGATCATAACCCGCAGATCGAGGAAAAGAAAGTCTGCGTTGAACCTGAAATACATGTATTTTATCTTCTGATAGCGTTCTTAAGAGGCAAAAGACTGTGTCACGGTAATTATTTTGGGTATCGTAATGAAAATCAAAGGGAACTAAAAATTGGTAACTGAATATACTCTTCTGACGAAGCCTATGTGATCGCTTTGAATTTCGATAAGCCAATAAAGATAAGAGACAGAAATTTAAAGAGAGACAATACGGAGCTAGTATCTGGTTCCATCACCCTCTAAGACTAATCAATGACTTTTTGCATACTCAACTATGAAAACTGCAGCAAAAGTTCTCTCAGCAGGAATATTTCTCACTTGCAGAAGGTATCTCAATCAGCTTTGATGTAATGGTGTCAAGAAAGCTGAGACGTAAGATCCCTCGAAAACTGAGACCCCTCGAAAGACTGGTTCAGGATTCAGGTTTTCGCACTTGAAAAACACTCCAAAACCAAGACCCCTATTTGAATTCATGGCCAATTATAGCGCAACTAAATAACACAACACTTGAATACAGTTCGAGTCACGACTTTGAGAAGTTCACGATGATCCAATTCAGTCTTCAACACCTAATTACCATATACCATAATATAGAATTTTCTCCAAATGCCACCTTTCGAGCGAAAGGCCGTTTTGACTATCATGCTAGAAAATTTTACTTTTGCGGCAAAAAAAAAAAATTAAAAGACCCCTTAAAAACGCATTCTGAACATCGAGCGTTGTTAAATGGCTCCTGTGATTCTAGAGTTTGAATTGCCTTTTTCATATCTGCAATGCGTTCGTCGCATGGTCGGTTGCTTGACGGCTGTGTGGGTTTTCAATTGTCTTTCGATGCCATTTATAGATCGCTGATGAAAATTATAATTCGCGCCAGGCTAAGGATTTTCTTGATAAACGTTTGCCCTAAAATATGAATAACCCATTTATCTCAGTATCCGAGTGAAATTG